GCAACAATTCAAGTCAAACTGGTTTATTCCTTAGTCATTAGCCATTCCAGCATGACACTTCCATATATACATTTCCCCCACCCCGCCTTCCCAGATTTTTGTCACAGGGCATGTGCACTCACCAGACAGAGACAGAGAGAGGCAGAGGGAGAGGGAAAGTGAGAAAGTACCCCCTGCAGGTGGTGGCCAAGCCAAAAAAAATCCCTTCTCCTCCATTCTCCTCTCAAGATTTTGGGCATGGGAAACAGCAGTTAGCGTAATGGCTATGTTGCTGGACTCCCACGTAGTCGACTGCGGTTCGCGTCCTGGACCCGGTGGCTTAAAACTCACGCCGGGCGTGTGTGCGTGCGTGCCCAAGATCCCAAGAGGAGAATGGAGGAGAAGGGATTGTGGTGTGACCATCCCCCCTGGGGGGTGATTTCTCGCTTTCTGTCTCTCTGTCTCTCTCTGTCTGTCTGGTGAGCGCACACGCCCTATAGCAAAAAACCTCTCCAAAAAAAAAAAAAACAAAAAAAAAGATTTTGGGCATGCACGCGTATGTGCCTGGCATGACTTTCAAAGAGCTGGGTCCAGGACTCAAACCATGGTCAGCCATGTGTGAATCTTAACCACCATGCCAACTGCTGGATCAAAGATTCTAAACTATTAAGAGTGTTTAAAAACCCCAAAGAAAAAGATGACTGCTCTTTCTTTCTTTTCTTTCTTTCTTTCTTTTTTTTTTTTGTCATAGGGCTTGAGTGCTTGCTGGAGAAAGACTCAGAGAGACAGTGAGAAATCACTCCCCTGGGGCAATGGCCATGTTACAATCCCTTCTACTCCATTTTCCTCTCATGATTTTGGGCACATATGCATATGTACCTGGTGTGATTTCCAAGTCACCAGGTCTGGGACTCATACCACAGTCAGCCATGTGGGAATCCAGTGCTTTAACCACCATGCTACCTACTGGCCCAACAGCTCCATATATTTTTAGCTAAACTTTAGAATTACTTTAAAGTCTGTTTTAAAATTCCACCTTTTGGGGACAGCAGATGGCATAGTAGTTTGTCACTGGACTCACACATGGCTGACTGCGGTTGAGTCCTGGACCTGGTGGCTTCAAAATCATGCCAGGCATGATCCCAGGAGGCAAATGGAGAAAGGATTTTGGCATGGCCATTCCTTTGGGGGTTGATTTCTCACTTTCTTTCTCACTCCCGCCCCCCTTTCTTTCTCTCTTTGGCAAGTGCACATGCCCTAAGGCAAAAACGTCTAAAAAAAAATTCCCACCAGTTATATCAAACTTTTCTACCCTTTCTCAGCCTAGTGTAATCTCTACTGTCATAAGACTTCGACTATAATTCTTCTATAGTGTTAATTTCATAATTAACAATGAAATAGTCTGGTTCATCAACAGTTATTTTTTTCTTTATTCTTGTATTTATGTTTAATACCTTTGTCTTTTCAATTAGTCTGCATGATTCCTTCTTTCTAAAAATGTTTATTTTGATAGACAGATAGACAAACAGGTACCCTTGACAGAGCCTTGCCATCCCACAGTCCTCCCCAAAGCCTTTAAGTCAGTCAGGATTGTGATCAAACCAGTATGTTTAGGTTGACCAGGGATCTAAACCTGGAGCCTTTCTATATGGTTTCAATATCATGCAGTGGTGCTCTAACCCTTGTACCACTGAGGCTGAGTCAATACTGTAAATTTATTTTTTTTTGAAGAGGTTTTTGCCATAGGGCACGTGCGCTCATCAGAAAGGCAGAGAGAGACAGAGAGACAGAAGGCGAGAAATCACCCCCCAGGGTGGATGGTCACACCGCAATCCCTTCTCCTCCATTCTCCTCTCTGGATCTTGGGCATACACACACATGTGCTGGGCATGAGTTTAAGCCACAGGGTCTGGGACTTGAACCATGGCTGGGAGTTCAGCGACGTAGCCATTACGCCACGTGCTGGTCTCAATATTGTAAATTTCTTAAAGACAAGGAATTTATCTTTTAAACCTCTGCTTTCTTAGATTATATCAGCATAATATTTTAAATGTTAATATAGGTCTAATCTTTTTATTTTAGGAGTTAAAGTCTCCGTGAAACTACGTAATCTTTTCTAAAGTAGCTGTCTGTGTAACTCAGAAGATGAGATTGATTTCACAGGATTGTAGATTGACAAAAATTCTAACACTTTAAAAAATTTACTGGGTAGTAAATATATATGTTGATTTCTTTCTTACAATTGTACTATTACTCCTGTATGATCTACTTTTTTACTTTAACACTAGCATATTAATCTAACCATATAACTGAAAATAATGACAATATATTATCCTACATTAACACAACCATGTCCCTTTTGATATAATTTCTTTTTGTAAAGATAACTTAAGTGAGCTGGGTACTATCTATCTATCTATCTATCTATCTATCTATCTATCTATCTATCTATCTATCTATTTTAGGTTTTTGCCATAGAGTGTGTGTGCTCACCAGAGAGAGAGAGACTGTGGGAGAGAAAGTGAGAAATCACCTCCTGGGGGAATAGTCATGCAGCAATCCCTTCTTTTTCATTCTTGGGATTTTGGGCACACACATACATGTGCCTGGCATGATTTTTAACTCACTGGGTCTGGGACTTAAATCACAGTCGGCCATGTGGGAGTCCATTAGCTTAACGACCATACCACTTGCTATCCCCAAGCTAAGAGCAATTTAATCACTATTCTTTGGTTCAATCTTCTTTTCATCACTATATAATTTACGCAAGTATGTGCTTTTTTACTAACCAAATGGCACATTTCTGAAATCAGGCCTATTTCCTGGCTGTCAGTCACTTTCCTTGCCTCAATTCAAAGAGAGTGGGTGGGTTGGATGTGGAGGGCTGATGCAATTTACAGATGTATTTGAATGTATACTTTTCATAGGAAAACACATATTTTAAATATATTAATATTCATAACCTTATTCAATGCCATCTGCTTTTTTTGATTCATTAACAGCTTTGTTTTTTTTGACAATATCCAACTAAAAATACACAGACTTTGAAGGCATTGTGGGATATTTATTAAAAGCTTACTGATAACATTTAAAAAAGTTTACTTATAAATTACCTAAAGTTATTTTGAAAAGAGAAATAGGATGCATACTTTGACTGTATTCTGTACCCTTTAAAAACACTAACATGCAAATATCTATGTTTACAGTTAGTAACATTTTTTTAATTTAAAGCAAACCTAGTAATTTTATTAAAAGCAAGGTACTTTATGATATAAAACATATTGTCATAAAACATGTAACTTTAATTTATAGGTTCTTAATCTGAGGCTAAAGGGATCAGGGTGGTCTATAAATCCTTGGAGAATTATCTAGAAAATATATAATTTTTCCCCCTAGAAAGAGACTTGCAAAGATATATGTTATTAATCCAGATAATCAAAGCAGTCACCAAACTTCAAAAAATAATTTCATGTATTCTATCACTTGACTATTTGAATTAAAAATTATAAACCAGGCACCAAAAATATACTCAAAGTAAAGCTAATATTCATTGTAATAAAACTAAAATACAGTACACCATAAAAATCATGTTGAAATTTCCATTATATAACACTATCAAACCTTCTGCTTTAGTTGCCTTGGGATACATCTCAAGGATAATGAACCATCAACTGATTTAGTCAACTGAGTAAAAAACAGTAATAACAACAAAAAATAGGAAAGTCCAATGAAAAGTCTTAATCCATAATTTTTGTACTACTGTTGTTATAAGCCTGACACTGTGTCTTACTCACTGTTATTCACAACAGCCTTATGAGGTTGGATACTGTCATTCCCATTTTACAAATGGGAAACAGATCTTTGGACATGGTGATACCTCATCTATAATTTAAGAAACAGGCAAAGTTGTTTGTTGGTAGAATGAAGGAACATAGGTTAGGAGTGCACTTTTAGCATCTTTTAGATGGTTACCATCTAGATCACTTTCCACCTAATATAAAAATCCCTTTTACAATAACCCTGACAAATGATGAATAGAGTCATAAGTTTTGGAAGTTCCTAACCATTGTGAACTTGATTAACTGTGTGTAGAATCTTATGGAAAAGAAAAATCTGTATGTCCTCTTTTGGGTAAATAACAATAACTATTATTCTTCTTTGGAATTAAGATGTAAATAAAAAATAATTCTTAATATTCAAATTTCAAGATGTTGGATTAACTCTTTTTCTATTTGTTCTACACTCTGAATACATATGAAAAATCTACAGTAATTACTATTTGGCATTCTCTAGGAAATGCCAAATAGTTTTGTAGATGTCCTTGTTTTGCATATTGCTCCTACAAATGGGAATAAGTTCAAACTTTTCATGAAGAGTTAATTAATTTTGTTTACTATTATTATTATTTTAAAATTTATTATAGGGCACTTGTGCACTCACCAGAGAGACAGCACAACAGAGAGAAAATGAGAAAGCAAGCTGCCAGGTCTGGGATTTGAACTACAGTTCGTGATGTGGAAGTCCAGTGTCCTAACCACCATGTCACCTGCTGGCCCCCAAATTATTTTTTAAGCATATTTGCCATAGGGACTAGTACATGGCATAATGGTTATGTCACTAGATTCATAATGTAGTCAACTGCCATTTGAGTCCTGGATACAGCGGCTTAAAAACTCACACTGGATGTGTGTGTGTGCGTGCATGGCCAAAATCCTGAGAGGAGATTGGAGGAGAAGGGATTGTAGAATGGCCATCCCCCTGGGGAGTGATTTCTTATTTTTTGTCTCTCTGCCTTTCTCTGTCTCTCCAGCAAGTGCATGTGCCCGATTGAAAGAATCTCTTAAAAAAAATATTTGCAATAAATTGGACCTTATCTTACTAAGATTTCACCGCATACCATGTATAATACTTGAATCTTCTTGATATCTATAATAATTCTGAAGGCATTGAAGGTGTTTTTTGTTTTGGGAATTAACATGAGTCAGTCAAAAAGAGTGTACGTAAGGCAAAAACAATCTTACCAAAGTCTGCAAATGCTGACTGTCCAACCACCATCATATTTTGAGGTTTTTCAAGTACAGTAGCGAGAGAGAAGTTTCCATCCTGTTAAAGGCAGAAAACTTTGAATTAGACCATTACAATCTACTTACTTTTCAAGTGTGAAATGTAGCATTTTAAGTAAAGCAGGGAAATAAATAAGGCTTCTGTTGTATTGCACAAAAATTATTCCAACCTCTTTTTCCACTTTTGTGATGAAACCAAAGAAATTGCTGTGAGGTGAAGAAGATGTGAATTTGGAGTGTGTTCCTTACTTTCAGTTTTGGTATAATATCTTTTTACTAGACCATCACCATAATTTCAGACATAATACGAGTCTTATTTTCAAGGACTATTGAAGGTTTTGGGAATATAAGTAATTTTTAAAGAATGAGTTTCTGCCTTCAAAGAGCTTACAGTTGGGAGACAGAATGTGAGTCAGAAAGATAGAACCTTGAAGGTAACATGTATGTGTTACGAGTAAATACCAAAGAGACTGTGTTCTATAAACTCAAGAGAAAACATTCTGTTGGGGACAGTTAAGCAAAGATACTTGAATGGAGGAGAATTCTATTGATCCTTAAAGGGACAATTTTATCATCAGTTCAAGTTTACGTATCAATAACAAGGGGAATAAAGGTTACAGCAGCTCAGCTGTTAAGTACTGAGTCAGCTAAGGTAAACAGAGGAGAGCCCTTGGCCATCCTTATTTTCAGCTACTCTTCCAAAATGAAACAGTGTACACCTGACTTTCAAAAATAATAGACATTCCTTTAAGTTACTGCCTTTTTTCTATAGTTTAGATTACTGCACAGGAAAAATAAACCACAACACTGAATTTGAAATTATGAGCTCTCAGTTTTATAGAGCTCTTTTCTTATCATTGTCATCTCCACTAATTGAATGATATAATGATTCTGATTCCTATATACTTTATAGTGGATATTTACATACTTTAAAATGATGATGTCTCCTTTCTTTGTTCCTTTAAGAATACTGCAGATCTGCAAGTCAGTTTCTTAAGAAGGAACTGTTGTTCTTTATAGAGGATACCACTGTTACATTGTGAAAGCATAAAAATCAAAAAATTGAGGACTGTAAATAGGTGAATAAGATCTGTCTTGTGACAGGCAATTTTCCAAACACTTTAATACTCTCTTATCCACATGCATAAACATGTTTCCCCTACCATTATTAACATATGTGATGTACCTTTTAAATGATTTTTCTATTGACATCCTATTTACCTAAGTGTATTAAGCCTTAGGGTTTTCCTCTGGTCTTACCTAGAAGACCTGAAATTGCATTAAAATGTTGTGTCAAAGTTGCCAAATTTCTGACTGAGGTGTCAAGTGCTTTTGGAATTTTCTTTTCTTCCTTTTTTTTTTTTTGGCCACAGGGTACATGCAATCACGGTAGAGACTCCCACATGGCTGACTGTGGTTCAAGTCCTGGACCTGGCAGCTCACTTTCTCTCTCTCACTCTGTCCCTCTCTGGTCAAACTAAAATAAATAAATAAAGTTAAATAAAATAATTTTTTAAAAAATAAAAAAAAGAGAGAGATGGAGAGAGGGAAGGTAAGAAATCACCCCACAAAGGGGATGGCTATGATGTAATCCCTTCACCTCCATTCTCCTTTCAGGATTTTGGGCACATATGTACATGCATCCAGCATGATTTTCAAGCCACCAAGTCTGGAACTCCAGCCATGGTGGGCGATGTGGGAATCTAGGCATGTGGCAGTCCACTCTGCCTGTAGCCCTGTTTTTAGAATTTTTGAAAGCTTGTAGCATTGTATGCAGTGTTACAATGTTTCCTGAAGGAACAGAAAAGTGTGTCTTAAAATATACCAGCATCATTTGAGATAAAGCTGGATAATATATAGAATCAAGTGAACAAATTACCCTTTTGAAGGTCTATAAAATTTGGTAAATATATCTAGCAATGTTGTGAGATATAACATGTTTCATCTCCAACAAGAAACACTGGATACTTCCATGACAGTCTCCCAAGTCTAAGCACCAACCCTCACAGTGAGTTATCAACAGAAGAAAGGCAATACTCTCTTCTA